AAAAAAAAAAAAAAAAAAAATGTAATGTAGTCCATGAAAGATCTATGATCTGCAGGAGAGACCAGGCTGGGCGCAGTGGCTTGTGCCCGTAATTCTAGCAGTTTGGGAAGCTGAGGCAGGAGGATTGTGGTCAGGAGTTTGAGACCAGTCTGAACAAGAGTGAGACCATGTCTTAATAAAAAGCAAAAAAATTAGCCAGGAGTAGTGGCTTGCACCTGTCGTCCCAGCCTCTCAGGAGGCTGAGGCAGGAGGATCTCTTGAGCCTAGGAGTTTGAGGTTGCTGTGAGCTACAGACCTTGTGTCAGGAAAAGAAAAAAAAAAAGGAGGGACCTGAGCAACAGCTACTATAGTTTTTTTTCTAACATGTTCCCAAAGGTCTTCAGTTTTATGATATGCGTGTAATTTTGAACATAATATGTTAAGTAATCAAAAGACTGTCTAAGAAAGAAAACTAGAATTTTATACTTTTTCTTCTCGGTGTCGCCGCTCTTGCTCTTCAAGTCGTTGAACCTCAGCAAGTTCAACATTCCGAATTTCTTCATACTCATGCTGCAGGGTCTGCAGGTTAGCCAACTCTTCTTCCTCCATCACTTCCAGAAGAGCCTGCTCAATTGTCTTCCCCACCAGAACCTCTAACATTGGTTTAACTTCAAGATCAAAGTCAAAGAGCTTAAACGCACAAAATGAAACAAACAAAATGTTAATCGTGAATCAAATGCTCAACAAAAAACTATAAAGAATAGCAGGAAAGGAATATTATTTATTAAGCGTCTTAATAAATAATGACACGGTGCTCATGCTTTATTTATGGTTCCTAATCCTCAAAACGAACAGCAGTTTGTTTATAGGTGAAAATCCATTAAGTTGACATTATGAAAACTATCTATACATTCATCAAAATGAACGATGAAACTCAAAAATTTTAAGCTCAAACTCTGAAACCCAAGGAAAACATCCCTGTCTTTCTTATTCTACATTTTTTTCTGCTTCACTTTTACTGGTTGTTTTGTAATAACAGTGTGATGAACTAAGGAACAACAATAATGGATACTTTGGTGATTCATCTCGAGGATTTACAGGCAAATATACGTTTCTATGTAGTTTCTGAAGGCTTATTTTCTCAATGTCACTGATAAGTTTTTTTCAAGTACCTTTGAGTCTTAAGTTTCACATAAGTCATTATGCATATAATAATTGCCTTCTTCTCTTTATAAACTCGCCTATGTATGCATTCCACATTGACAAGAAAATGTAATTATTTTAAGATTTTTTTTAAAAGATGGTATCTTTATAAAAATTATGTAATACACAAGCAACTAGGGCTGTGCCTGTGGCTCAGTGGGTAGGGTGCCAGCCCCATATACTTAGGGTGGCAGGTTTAAAGCCGGCCCTGGCCAAACTGCAACAAAAAATAGCTGGGCTTTGTGGTAGGCACCTGTAGTCTCAGCTCCTCGGGAGGCTGAGGCAAGAGAATCGCCTAAGCCCAGGAGCTGGAGGTTGTTGTGGGCTGTGACGCTACCGCACTCTACCAAGGGCAATAAAATGAGACTCTGTCTCTAAAGAAAAAAAATGCATAAGCAACTAATAGTAAAACCTCCTATACTAGGGATACTCTATTTCCTTATTTGGTACAAATCTATTCTATATACATAGTTTAAATGAGTATGTAAATAAACATAAACCAAACGTGTAAATGTTCTAAAAACAAAATGACTTTGTTTCTAATCAGCAATGAAATCAGAGATATTTAATAACATTTCTGGGTACCACAGGATAAACCATTACAGATTTCTGACTGTGAAGTAGTGCTTATTCATATTAAGCTCTACCTAATCCTAACTTTACCTCATTTATAAAGATAATAAGGAGAAAGTCCACAGAACATACTGTACCTCGCCTTCTAGTATCTGAGTTGCCACATCTTTGCCAGTTTTGGCAGGAATAAAGAGTGGTGTTGGTGGTCTGTCCAAAAACGCATCCGTTTGGCATTCCATATCGACTTCTATTATGCGGTCCGCAATTTCTTCAAGGTATAATTCTAAGAAGAATATAATATTTTTAGAGTTTAAAATTCTGGTCTATTTGATATTTCAGCTTCTTCAAAAGAGAATTAAAGGATCAGAAAATAAGTCAGAATAAAAAGGCTCAAATGTGGAGTTCAGCTACTGAACTAGAAGTCTGATATATTTGGAAGACCATCGAGTCAGTCATGCTGGAATATTTACTAAAGGCCTAGAAAGCACTGAACTCTGTATATGAAAATGAAATTAAAGAATATGAGACACAGATGTGTATAAGATGCAAAGTATGATAGTGGATAGAAAGTTAATAATAATATACATACACATACATATACACTGTATATAACTGAGTCTTAAAGATAGTCAATGTATAAAGATTTGAAAATTGGAAAATAGGCATCAGGGGCAACCTAATAGGGGCAACGTGGCACCAGGCAAAGACTCTGAGCGCTGGACTCAGATGTTGAATATAGGACCTGGCAAGTTATGATCTCACTGGGCCTGAGTTTCTTCATCTGTGAAAGGAATCATAATTATCTGTCACATGGAATCTTTATAAAAATAAAGGAGATCAGGCTGGGTGCAGTGGGTCATACCTGTAATCCTAGCATGTTGGGAGGCTGAGGCAGGAGGATCGCCTGAGCTCAGGAGTTTGAGACCAAACTGAGCAGGAGAAAAGACCCCGTCTCTAAAAAATAGCTGGGCATTGTGATGGGAGCCAACAGTCCCAGCTATTGGGAGGCTGAGGCAAAAGGATCTATTGAGCCCAGGAATTTGAGGTTGCTACAATCTATGATGCCATGGCACACTACCCAGGGCAACAGAGTAAGAATCTGTCTCAAAAAAAGAGAGAGAGAGAAATAAAGGAGATACTCAGGAAAAGGACTTGGTACAGTCTCTGAAGAAATATTCAACAAAAGGGAGCTGCTACTGAGTCACTTAATATCTGGTGGTACACACAAACACTAAGACTTAGCCCTCCCAGCGTTACAACTGTACTGGCTAATGACAGACACAGGCTTACTCTAGATTTGGTGTTCAAGGCAGGGAGAAAAGCATGGAACCGTTTTCTTTCCCTTTGCCTGACTACTCAGCAATAGCCCTGCTGAATGCACTCATCATCCCGGCAGGGTGCAGGTGAATCTAAGTAGTTACTGTGGTCCAAGGAAAACATCAAGTATTGCCTGACTGCCCAGATCCTGTCAGCAACACAGCTACCCTACGTCTAGGTAAGCCTCTACAGTAGACACAGTGAGATTCACGGGGAAGTCCTGGCACCTGCCTCAGGAATGAACGCCTGTGTGGCCCGGGGAAATGTACACAGTGACAGGAGAACAAAGGGGCGCAGAAGAAGAGGCTGGATGATTCAGGTGTGAGTGGGCTGAGCTAAATAAAAGCCCACACAGAATTACATCGCTCTCCTCTCCTGTAAATCCTGATGAAAAGAACAGGGATTCATGTCGGGGAAATAATCCCAGCTTAAGAATAGAATATGTGAAAAGGACTAAGAGAGAATTAGTTTGGTCATAAAATTATGTTTTTAAAATCCCATCCTAAATTTCCAGCCATATCCAATGTAATAATATATATGCATATATTATAAAACAAAGTATATATTATTATTTTAACAAATATAAACGTATTTATTTAGTGAATAGACGTCCCTACCATGTGATAAGGGAAATACTGGCTAGCACAGGAGACCCATAAATAATGCAAAGGTCAGGTAAAAATGAACGGAAGCAGCAACCCAAGGAGCCACCGTGCCAAGGCCTGGCCACACACCTGTCTGCACATCCACATGTTTTCTGCCTTCCACGGGTTCGGGCGTTCGCGGTCTGAGCTGTTCTTGGGCTCGTTTTCGGGCAAGAGCCCTCCTCTTAGCCTGCTGCAATCTCTGAAGCTCTAGAGGGTCGGGCTGCCCCAGCTAAGGAACAGAAAAGGCTTCTAGAGTTTAGAAAACATTTCTCAAAGCAGATAGGAACTGACATTCCAGAAGTGATTCCTGGGCGACAGGACACAATTATAAGAGGGACTTTATCTAACAAATGCAATAATTACCCTCAATGAATCCCCAATTAAAAAAACCCACAAAAGTGATTCCTGGGTAGTGCTAAAGCATCTGTCATAACGATGCATCCCAATCATCAGTGACTTGAAGAGAAAAGCTTTATTGGAAATTTGTCAGGTAATCACCAAGGTGTCTGATAAAGCACAGAAGTAAATGCAGAGCATGTCTGTGTGTTGGAGTAAGTGGGTGCACACCTATCTACATAATACACGGATTTTCCTCATTTAAGCATTTTTTTTTTTTTTTTT